CGGTTCTCAGAGTCGCTCTAATTAAAGCGCCCCTTCACCTTCCTCCTCCCCCTGCCCCCCGGAGTATGTGTATAGTCCAAGCAGGGACTGTGGGAGCGCAGCTGTAGGATCCAACTCCAGCCCTGGTCTGGGGTCAGCAAGTAGGACATGGGGCAGTGTCCTGGAAGCCGGGGAAGGTTGGTGAGGGAAATGTGTGGCCCTCAGTGGCAAAAAGCCTTGAGCAAGTGCATAGGGAGCTGTGCCTACAGCTGAGAATGATGCCCCACCACAGCTACATGCAATCGCCCTCTGCCCCTCACCCAGGCCATCTCATAGACTCAGAGACAATGAGGGTGGACGGGACCTCAGGAGGTCACATCTAGTCCAACCCCCTGCTCCAAGCAGGACCAGCCCCAACACTATCATCCCAGCCAAGGCTTTGTCTACCTGGGTTTTCAAAACCTCCAAGGATGGAGAGTCCACCACCTCTCTGGGTAACCTGTTCCAGCGTTTTACTACCCTCCTCATGAGAAAGTTTTTCCTAATATCCAACCTCAACTTCCCTTGCTGCAACCTGAGCCCTGCTCCTTGTCCTGACATCTGCCCCCACGGAGACCAGCCCAGCCCCATCCTCTGCAACCCCCTGCAGGGAGCTGAAGGCTGCTATTCAATCCCCCTTGGTCTTCTCTTCTCCAGACTAAATCAGCCCAGTGCCCTCAGCATCTCCTCACCAGCCATGTCACTCAGCCCCCAACCATTTTTGTTGTCCTCCACTGGACTCTCTCCAATGTGTCCACATCCTTTCTGTAGTGGGGGGCCACAGCTGGACACAGGACTCCAGATGTGACCTCCGCAGTGCTACATAGAGGGGAAGAATCACTGCCCTCCCTCTGCTGGCACTGCTCCTCCCAATGCAGCCCAGGATGCTGGTAGCCTTCTTGGTGACAAGGGCACACTGCTGGCTCCTGTTCAGCTTCTTGTCCCCTGTCCCCCCAGGTCCTTTCCTGCGGAGCTGCTGCCCAGCCAGTCACCCCCAGCCTGCACCGGTGCATGGGATCATCCCTCCTAAGTGCAGGACTTTGCACTTGCCCTGACTGAACCTCATGACATTTTTTTTTACCCAATCCTCCAATTTGTCTCAGTCACTCTGAATCCTAGCCCTACCCTCCAGTGTATCTACTGCTCCCCCCATCTCCCATCTCCTTTCCCACAGACAATGATGGCAACTGCCCATCGCTCAGCCTCTCCTGGACTGCAGCTGAAGGCAGCCGTAGCTGGTGCGTGATGATACCCTCTCTGTCCTTTCCTCACAGACCTACCCCCAGACCTGAGCCCACAGAGGAAGGACTGACCTATCCTGCCATTGCTCTCCTCTGAAGCCGGAGATGGGGGGCAGGCAGAGGGAAGGAGCAGCTGGGCATGGACAGAGGAACAGCTCAGAGAGAGGAAAGCAGCAGGCGCCACCAGGGAGATGTGCAAGAAGCATTCCTGGAAGCTTCACTAAGGCACTAGCAATTACTCATGCTCCCGCGAAGCGCTGTGAATCCCCACCTCACCCTCCCACTCCCACATTGCACAATCCTCAGCCCCATAGACCGCAGGCAGCCAGCACCAGAGCCAGCCTGGGGCACAGCACTGCCCGGCCTTCGAGGAGCCAGTCCGTGCCCATTGGGAGGCTGCTGAGAGCCACCAGTGCTGGGGCCAAGCAAAGCCCCTCCAGCGAGGCCGGGGGTATGTTATTAGAGATAGGCCCTGCAAGTAGGCTGGTATGACACCTGAGGTGACTCAGTCCAAGAGGTATGACAGGAGCGCACACAAGCCAGTGAGGTATGTGCCAAGGAGACAGATGACAGGGCAATGCACGCAACTAAAGATAACAGCGATGGCTTATTCATGTACCAGCGGACCATAGGGACAGGCCAGTCCTGCTAAAAACAGACTCTGGAGCAAGTCACAGTGGTTCCACCTGCAAATACATCTGACCTGGGGGGAACCTGGAGCAAGGATCCTGATGACTGCTGCGGGGCTGTTCCTTGGCACTAAAAACCCCATCCTATTAAGAGCTGCCGTGGAAGCCAAGGAGCAGTCGAACTCCCAGGCCCTTTTCATACTGCCTGCAAAATCTCCAGTTAAGTTCCACGGCTCCCAATCATGGCTGGGCAGGCCGGCCCGGGCTCTGCACCCCCCCGACGGCAGAGCTCCTCCGGCTGCAGCAGCACTGGAAGCGTGTGTGTAGACAAGACCCAGGTGTTTCCATGCCACGTGAGCGCTGAGCGCGGCTCTCGTTACGATCAATGGGTCTAGAGCACAGCGAAAGCTGGGCAGGAGCTGACGGGATGAAGTTCAGTGCTGACAAATGCAAGGTGCGGCACCTCCAGAGGAATCATCAGAAATAACAAATGCAAAATGGGTGACCCCAGGCAGGATGGCAGCACTATGGAGAAGGAACCGGACATCTTGATAGATCGCAGACTGAGCATGCGTGTGCAGCTGCACAAAAGGCACATGCAGTTTAGGGATGCATCAGAAGAAGCATTAAGTGCAAGACACGGGAGATGACAGTGACTCTCTGTTTGACACTGGTTCATTAGGCCTCATCTGTCAGCTCAGCAGACAACCCAGTGCAGTAAGTGCAAGACACGGGAGATGACAGTGACTCCCTGTTCGACACTGGTTCGTTAGGCCTCATCTGTCAGCTTAGCAGACAACCCAGTGCGGACACAAACTCATAAAGTCACAGAGAAGCGGGGCTGGAAGGGGGCTGACTCATAAAGTCACAGAGAAGCAGGGCTGGAAGGGGCCTGCCGAGGTCACATCTAGTCCAACCCCCTGCCTGAGGCAGGATCAGCCCTGTCCAAACCAGCCCAGACAAACCCATTATCCAACCTCGGAGCAAAATCACACAAATCACCCCTGAGACAGCACCAGGCATCACAGGTAAAGCAGGCAGCCAACATCCTGCTTCTATAAAAGGTTGTTAATATATGCTTGAGAGACCCCAGGTACCGGGCTACACCTCCTGCTACAGAGGAAGGCAAACCCCCAGTCCATAATAATTTGATTACTACCGAGCACTACCGGGGGTAACAAGGAACAACGGCCGTAAGTTGACAGAGAGTAGATTCAGACTAGGCATCAGGAGGCACTACTTCACTGTCAGGGCGGCTAGGATGTGGAACCAACTTCCAAGGGAGGTGGTGCTGGCTCCTACCCTGGGGGGTTTCAAAAGGAGGCTGGATGAACACCTTGCTGGGGGCATTTGACCCCAGCGCTCTTTCCTGCCCATGGCGGGGGGTCGGACTTGATGATCTGCTCAGGTCCCTTCCGACCCTACCAGCTATGAAACTATGAAAGGGGACGGCTGATGTTACCTGTTGGTAGAAGACGTGCTCTTTTAACCGTCCCCTAGATGTCCTGGGCAGGCGCACCCACAGCTTTGCATGCCCCTGGCACCTGACAGCTTCCTTCCAGTTGCTGATCAGGCTGTGGCATTTATAAGGGTCCAATATTACCAAGATGTTTCCTCCCCCTGTGGCCCAGCTGCCTCTCGCTCTGATCCCACCGCCAGGAGGAGGGGAGCTGGCTGGCCTGTGATCTATAAGTAGGTGCAGGGCTCCTAAGCTGCTGATGCTCCAGGTCTTCTGCAAACAACCCACTTCCAGGAAGACAGAGAGGAATTACGCAGATGAACTGCACTTCTGACATACCTTTCATCAGAGGGTGCAAAGCAAGAATTAAGTCTCCTTCACTGCCCGCTGGCTATGTGGACTGTCACGCCAGTCAGGCACAAAGAGGATCTTGCCCAAGGTCACCCCGTGAGCCAGTGACAGTCAGCAGTAACAAGGGATGAACAGTCCCTCACATTGCAGCCTCGGTACTTGACCCTGGATCCCTTTCCTTGCCCCGCTTGGCCCCTGCTGTCTTTAACATTGCGTGTGCATATAAATCGTAGGGTTGGCAGGGACCTCAAGGCCCACCTGGTCCAACCCCTTGCACGAAGGCAGGAACGCAGCTCCTAAATCCCCCCTGTCCAATGCTTATCCAGCTTCCCCTTGAAACCCACCAGCAAAGAGACTTCCACCACCCCCAGGTCAGCCTGTCGCACTGCCTCCCCGCTCTAACAGCAAG